TCCCCTTTTCGAATTTCCACAGCCGAGAATTTTTTTTTCAATTTTTAATCCTACATTCCCAGTCCCTGGGAATTAATTTACACCGCTCACGGCCGAGTACTCTTTTAGCACTTTGGTCGTAAAACCTTTTTTTTCTTTCAAATTTTAAATTGTCAGCCTCCTTTTGTGCACCCCCGTGTGTGTTTTCCAGCTTTGTTCACACCTTACCAGCTCAATATTTGACAGCAGACGTGGTATATGAAAAGTACTCTACAAACACAATGATTTGAAAATATGATTTCAAATATCAGTAATCTTTGAAATTGGTGATCTATTTACCTGGTATTGGATCGAGCGGGACTTGTGAGATCCAATCCACACGTGGACCGAGCTGGGAATGGGGTGAAAGGCGCGGGAAGAAAACTATGTACCAACCTGCTCCGCGAACTACGCCAACCTGACATGGATTTTGAAAATCCGAATCGTTCTTTTCGTCTCTGGAGGAAATTCAGGTATAATTATGTATAGACATCTTTCTTTTAAAACTTGAGTAGAGTCCTTGAATCAGCCCCTTCAAAATAGTGGCACATGCGCACTCATAAGCACAGGAGAGAGTGGATAATCCCGTCTACCAAGCTACCAGCTCCCCCAAATTTCGGAAAATGAGAGGTCCGTACAATGTGAAGACAAGCATGGGTCAACACTACACCCCAAGACATGTATAATGAGACTGGATTTCAGGTCTCAGTCCACACCGTCCGCATTTAATAATACACACTTCATGACTGATTACACTGATAATGTTGACACATGGCACGAGGTCAGGTATCCTTTCTGCAACAGGCCAGGGGCGATTTCATGTAAGCTTTTAACATTCTTTTATCTGTATCATGGATACGCGGCCTGCGATTATGAACTGACCAATGACTACGTCCAAACTGTACACTACAAGTCTAAGTTTTCTCTCCATTAAAGGCCACTCAGTGCTTCAGTCAGGCGAACGAAAAAGAAAAGTGAATTTGCTGTAATGGAACATTTACAGAGAAATTTACTCGAGTTGAAAAGTAAATACCGGTACTTCGAGTCATCATTTCCGGATCGATTTCACTTTCACTTATATGAACTGGCCTTAACAGTAAAGAGGTGTTAAGCCTGGTTTCCATGCGGACATAAGACACGCAGAGAGCAACACAATCAAGACGCAAACTGTAACGCAGACATATGGAAACATGCCAAACGGAGGTGTCTCAATTGAAAACCCAGCCCGCGAACCATCGGCAAAGTTGAGCCAGGTTCAACTTTGCCATGTCGACTGTCTGCGTCGAGTATCCGTGGTATCCTATACAAACACGCACGCTGGCATGACCAGCATGCAACAATGTCCCTCTTGCCGAGTTTCACAAATTTCGCCCATCTTCCCCTTAAGTTCATGACATTACACCCTTACGATCAACCAAATAGCTGACCATCAACGAAATTACAGGAAACTGGAGTACGTATTTGACATCATGACGAAGTACAATCAATCTATGAAAGTGGGTATTTTCTTAAAAAGTCACAGAGTTTCAGATGCCAATTTTTTGGTCAATTTTTGAGTGGAATGACGTCATGCACCGTCTCTTCCGTTCGTGTCTGCGTCTGCATGTCTTGCGGACCGTCTGCGATACAAACGACAATATGGAAACCAGGCTTTATCCGTTTTGGGTCGAGAGCGTAGTTTTTCTCGAAGTCGACAGGGGGCAGTGTGCACTGTTAACAATGGAGTCCAGATAAACCGTGCAAACATTTTCTGGGGCAGTCGTATATTGCTCAGTAACAAACAGTCCCATGAGGCTGCACTTTATTTGAAACGTAATTTTTCTGAGATGAGTTTTGGACAAAAAATGCGATTGGTTCAAGGACACGACAACCCTGGAGGATAATCGAAGCAGACTCTGAGGTTATCCGGTAGCTATACTAGATCCCGTAGACCTGAACTCGCATATGTTTTGCTGCCCTGTAAAGGTCTGTAGGGTCTGTATTTTACACCTGAAGGCATTGATGCTCTGTTACAGAACTGTTAAAGAAGTTTAAAATCAGAAACAAGGTCAAGTCGAAGAGAACAAAAGCAGACGCTTGCGAGGAAAGACAAAACACACGTTGTAGGATTTCTGAGGCTAGTTTGGGACCAGTTTTATTTCGCAAAGATTGGTTTGTTCCCAACAACGCGTGAGCACAATCTGGAAAGGCGAAATTGTTTTGACAGACCGTGGAGTGTCCTTTCTTAGCTGCTTCTCTTGAGATGACTTTTTTGATTACAACCTGGTTTCATTCCACAACAAATTCAATTATTCTACTGGAATGGACACAATGGTTTATTCTAGCTAAAGCATCGTTTAGGGGACATATCACCATGCGCTCATTAATTTAAAATGGAAATTCCCGACGGCAAGCCACCACCGTCATTCGAATTACACGGTATGCTGGGAAGTCGGAAGTTTGTGATACCATAGGACTGCCAGGCTTTGGTCGGCCCCTTTCCTATGTGCAAGTTTCTCAACAGGAATCACCCACATTTTTTTCCCGAAGTGAAGCCATCCGCCGGCGCGTCAGATGGAGACCATTGACCCTCTACCGTTAATGTTGGCGACCCATCTTCCCAAGACCGTTCCATTCTGAGCGTAGGGAGCGCAGCGACCATTTCAGTTTTCAACTTGTCCACTTTGGGACCACCCCAAAGTCGGCAAAGTAAAATCCAAAATTCGGCCAGCAGAAAATTGGGTTTTATGAAAAGGGGTGGTGCAACTTAAAAAAACCCAAACATCTACGAAACTTGCAGAAAATGAGAAAATAGGGTTGTCCAAGGGGCATCAAATAAAATTTGCTAGCGGAAATTTGAAGTTTTTAGTTGTCCACTTTTGACGCACTACGAAGGCTTCTTTAAGTAAATTCCCAATTTTTGCTAGCAGAAAAGTGCGTTTTTGAAATTGCTATACGAAAATTCCCAAAACACGAAAATCTACAAGCAAAAAATAAAAAGATGGGGTTGTCCACCTTTGGAGCATGGCAGTGATTTTGCCAGTTTTTAGTTGTCCACTTTTGACGCGCCACGAGAGTTGTTCAAGTAAAATCCAAATTTCTCCTGGTGGACAATTGGGTTTTTTCAAAATACTTTAGGCAAAGTCCAAAATCCCGAGAATCTCCTAGCAGAAAATGAGAAAATGGGGCTGTCCACTTTTGACGCTCCATAGCTGTCGAACCTGTAGAGCCCTACTCTACCCTTGCGACAGCTACAGCATTGATCATAAATCAAATCGGACTACAGAAGGTAAGCAAATTTGTTTCATTATAATTACACAACTGAGTCATCGCGTCATGCATTTCTGATTCACAATTACAAATGTTAATACATTCACAATGTTGATCAAGCTTCGTCCATAATCTACCGATATTTGAATACCTACATTCACGCAAAGAACAGAAAAAAAACGCTGAAGTAACTGGCAAATTTGGCAGCTTCCAAACGAAAGTCTAAAAACGAGAGTGCAGCACTCCTTCAAAACTGTCACTAAAGTTAAGTGAAGTTAGAGAAACAAATGTGTTGCATCATATTTTTAAAACAATCGGCAAGCAGTCCAGTATCTCACCGCTGAAAAACGCCGTTAGTTTTACACTTGATCTGTTTGTTACAAGAACCTTCAGGGAAAAGTCACACACCATTACAAGCATTCAACCTCTGCTCTGTGATTAGACCCATTTGGTTGAATATTTTGAGGTAATTTGATGGCTGGGTTGGAATCCTCTAACTTTTAAGTCTAAAATTTAAATACCCTTAAAGTGTTCTCGTTGATGGTATGTTGGGCTTAAACGGCAGTTGGCATTTATAGTTAAGAGTTCGAATGTTTGCGTCCTAAGTTGCGCTTTTTTTCCCTGAAGGTTTAATTTTGACACCTGTTTTAAAGTTATTGATGGCTTTGGCCTGAAAATGTATTCGAAGACCGAGAATCGACAATCGGTGGCACAGAGGCAAATGAGTCAAATCAAGGGAGACCACTCCGTACAGAGCAGAAACTTAGAATATGCCTTGGTGTTAGCTTAAATAGGAGACAGGGCTACGGTCGCTCGCGGAAGGCGGCTTTTTTGCTGGAGGAGCAGGGGCAGTCATTCCAGTGATCAGACGGAAGCCAGCATTCTCATTGTGATTGTTATTGTGGGGCTGGTAGCGGGTTCTCGTTGTGGTAGGACGTCGACTCGACTTGAATGTTTGTATGGCTTTGCTTTGGGCCGTAGGCGGGACAGAACCACGCACTTCAGCTTTGTTTGCACATCGTCAACAAATTCAACTGCGGGTGCGGCAAAACTTACACAGTGCAACAGAGGAGTCCTGGAATGGAGGCTGTACACGAAATAAGAATTGAAACTGTCTGGAACCAACCACTTCACCTTTGTTTGCGGGGGCGACATACCGGTAACTAATGCAATGCGGCAAGCTATCTTTTAAAGTTCAAACTTCGGCCTCACCCTGGTGAACTCTCAAACAACCACTGGATAAAGTTCACATCCAAATTTATCTAGAAATGCCGTGGAATAACTACATGCAGTTTGTAACAATACGTAAGTGCCTACAAGATTCTACCGTGAACAGCGCCATCGCGAATCAGATTGGCGTCCACGAGAAAATTCGTGGTTTTATGTGAGCGCCTTGAAGAGGTAGTATTCAAGAGCTTGTTTTTTTGTACGTCACTCCAGAATCTCCTTATTCGGTGAGATCAACACTATGGTACTATGGTACATGCTATTGTCAAATGTAACGGTAGACTTTTTCACTGAGACAGAAGGCTAGCAACGTCTAAGTGGCCGGCCCAACCCAGATTCATCCCCACTATAAAGCTAACAGGAGGCTGACATTTTGCAGTTGAAGTGGGCAGCAACACGCACGCAGGCACATTGTTAAACTTCAGACTGGATAAAGTTGGAGGTTCCCCCCCTGAAATCTAGAGTGAACACGCTCAGGCGAACACATGAAGTCACTCATCCACTATGAGGGACAGACCATGCCCATTTTATTAATGAATGAGTCCATATAATGATTTTTTCTTTGTGCTCTTCTTTAATGGGACCATGCAGAACAATGATTTATTTCAGCCCTTTAAATCGCACCTTTGTGTTTTAATTAACCTCATTCAAATGTTTTTGTTTAACTCTTTCAAGCTGCATTTTGGATTCTTTTTGGTTTTATACTGGTTTTATAATGCGAAATTCCATACTCCTGAACGAAATTCTGATGTCATTCAAGCACTGAACTTCAAGGTGTCCACACGGTTGGAACCAATTTGATGAATTAGATGAAACATGTTTAAAATCGTCTTGGTGGAAGGGTATGTGACTTTAAAAATAATGATATCAGCAAGTAAATTCATCAGAGCAGTGTTTATATCTTTTGGGTTAGATGGGTATAGTATACAAATATTGACTGCTTCGAGTGGTAAAGTAAAACTAGCCTCCCGAGGTGGTCCATGAAGCATTCTGTTTTCCAGAGGCGAACCAAGAGATAATGCAGTTTTTACAACACCTCACCCACAGGTTTACCCACAGGTTTACGCTACAAGACAAAATACACGCCTGGGTACTGTTTCTGTGCTACGGATATAGTTCTTTGGTTGCTACCGGTACAACTCTTTTTCAGAGCGAGACTGCATGTGTATAGTCTCTATAGTAGAACTAGCAAGCGTCACATGCCACACTTCAGGCCAATCAACATACAGATCAGGCCAATCAACATACAGATCCGTGGATGAGGCGTTGTAATACCATATATGACATTCATAAGTGCATAGATATTAGCGACAGATAATTGTACAAATCTAACAGGGCCATATTGGTGCGTCTAAGGCTTATCTTCTTCATAAAAGTTTTTTCTTCTCTAACAAACCTGCTGAAAAGTTACATTAGAATAAATCAAGAAAATATCCCAGGAATAGAAAGCCAATTTTTCACTTAGAAGGAGAGAAAGCCAACCACAAAAAGCTGTCCTTTTCAAAACTACGTAAATGGCAATGGTGATAAAGACAAAATACAAAAAGTCCAGTAGCATCACACTCTTCGCATATCCTGATAGGCAAATTTATGGAAGACCATTTTGCAGTCAAATACAGTTCCAGGGTGGAGAGGAAACTTCCATGAAAGTCATCTGAATGTTTCAGCAGTTATTCCTTCGATGAATATCTTGGCAGCTTAGATATGAGATTATTTTCTTAAGGCATTCCGAAAGACTATCACTTCAAAATGTCTGAAACTGGAGTTTTTCTCGTAGAATTTTCCCACCAGAAAAGCGAACTGTTGAAGTTTTCAATCGATGCTAAACATTTAGTTAGAAGAAACTACTCTTTTGTTATTAGAGCTTTGCGGTGTGAACGAAATCTAATTACAGTGCTCTACATACGTGTTTTCGTATTATCATTATTTTTTCTATTGTGATGTGCAACGGTCGAGGATTCTCACGAAAGAATGCTTCTTACTGTATCAGCTCAAAGAAAAAAGGGCAAGTGGACTAGACAGGTGTATGTTTCTCCATCGACAGCTGGAATGGGTACCTCAGTGTTTGCCTCCGTGTGTGGTTATTGCCGGGGTCACTTGGGTTCTAGAAGTGACTTTGAAGTTACTGCGTTTGATAGCTTAGGGATCATTCCACATTCAGTGACCATGATTAGTAAAACTGATGGCACACTTAAAAGAAGCTGAGTGGAAATCGGGGCGTTAAACGTCGCTGAGGTTTCTGCTCTAGTAGGAGACAGGCCGTGGTCGCTCACAAAAGAAGGGCTGCTTATCAGTGCAACGGATGTCATTCCAATAGCCGGACACGGTAGCTACCTCGCCGCAATCCTCGTTGTGGCCTCTGTTGTCAGGCTGCCCGGCGTTCCAGTTGTGGTAGGACATTGGCCTGTTGGTGCCAACCCATTTGTAATGGCCCTCCGAGTCGATGTCGTTCAGCCCGATCCAGTAGTTCGAGAACAGCCCTCCCCCTTTCTCAGCGAACATATGGTGGATGAACTGCGCCTCGCTTGCCGTGTTGAGAGACACCAAGTTGGCCCGGTGGTCTAGGCCGTTGCAGTAGCTTTGGGCGGCGTGCCAGTCCATCTCCTTGCCCACGAAGCGATAACAGCGGTTACCCCGGAGGGTCCAGAACGGCGGACAGCAGAACACTCGCTTCGGCTTCCGCTGCGACGGACCCGCTTCCACGAAGGAAGCACTCGCGGCCAAACAGAGAATCAGTATAACCAACCAACGGCCCATTTTGACGGCAGGAACGAGTAGAAGCTACTCCGCTTACTTCAGAAAGATGATTATGCTTTGGTTCGTAAACGAATAATGAATGTGAACTGTCTGAACCTAGCCCCCACTCCTTTGTTTACACACTGTCTACAAATGAAATCGTGGGGGCGCCAATTTACTCATATACCCAACTGTACTGGCAGCCGACAGGTCGTCCCGAATTCACGTTGCAATCTGTTCGAGCCCTCACCGTATAGGATTTCATACGAGCAATAAATCGGGCAACACTTATGATTGAGGGAACAAATAACTTGCAATCACAGGTGTCACTAGAGGGGGGTGTTGGGGAGTGTCACACCCCGTTAATTAGTTTTGTCGGCAAAATCATGGTCTGTCGGCAAAATAAGAAAACCCGAAGAATGGAGAATGAAGATGAAAGGAATGGGGATGCAGTACACTCGTTTTGCGTGACGGTCCGCCGGCAAGTGTCATGTGGCAAACCCCCCCCCCAACATTCAAAATAGCCTAGCGACGCCCGTGCTTGCAATTTTGTGGATGAATTTAGCTCATTCCAACGACCTCTAGGGCATTCAGGCCGAGGGCGGACGATCCACCTTCAAACTGGACTTTAAACGTTGCCGTCGTCCAGGCGAAGCTTTAAGCCAGGACTGCAGTGCGCAATGTAACGCGAAAACGAAGTGCACGTTTAAAAACTGCCGAAAAAAGGGTCTAGAGTCTACAGTGAATCGAGATTACCGAGATTCTACTACGAACAGCATTATGCAGAGACAAACTGCATCCAAGAAAACATTCACGCCATCTTAATGATTGTTGCACCGCCCTTGTTTACTCTTACCACAATAATCTTTCACTAACATTCGAGTGGATCAACGGAATGGCTCGGGTGCGTGCTATTCGACCTGAAAGCTTTGATTATAGGTGTGTTCACAATGACAAATGCATAGATAGCAACGGGTAAGTGTTTAGACTAACCCAGGTACTGACATTTTGGATCTGAAGTGGATACCAACATACTGGTAGACAAATTTTTTAATGATTGGCCAGATAAAGTTGATAGTTAACGATGTCAAATATACAAGAAGCTTGAGATATTAAACACACGCACAGTTCTATTGTGTTAGACGGACACACATCGTCACTTTGTGATTTAGGATTATGTGTTTTTCATGATTCTGGGGATCTTTGTTTTATTTTAAGCATTTTAAGTTTTTAAGTTTATAAACATTGTTGTGACGTCATTATGACGGAGACATTTGTCAGGTAATGCCGCTAAAATGCCTGTTCTTTTTAACAGGCCTAGTTTGATAACAAAAACCCCAAAATACCACTATTAAACCTTCCATTCATTTAAAGACTGAAAGACAAACATAACTGAAACATCTCAGTGTTTGTGTTTTGGCAAACACAACGTTCTTCCTATTGTCTTTTAAAAGCGGAGACCCCAAATCTCCGGGGCCTGGAACCAGTCAGCGGCATGCCGTTGTAGTGGTAGCATGTGGTGGGTGTCCCTGAATAGCGATCAGCATGGCGGGCAGCAGGCTCAGCTCAGCCCAATAAAAAAAAAGACGACATCCACGGGCGATCTGCAACGCCCTTATCCTGAGACTGGGATCGTTTGGGGCCGAAACTGTGGAAAAAGATTGATGTGTGCCTCTGCAGGGCCATCTTTGAATGGTGCTGAATATGACACAATACTAACTTATCAGTTAGATGCTTTGAAAAAAAATTACAAGGAGCCTCTCACTGCTAGCCCAAACCTGTCACTTGAAGCTCGAGGTGACCTAACTACATCTATATTACAGTGAATGCGAAACCCAGGTAAAAAAATCTGCATTAGCATTATTAACACATGTAATATATCTAGGTCCTGCCGTACTTCAGAATTGAACTCTTGATATTCTGACAATGATCACAACTGATAACACTGACATAAAAAGGGTAATGAAAGCACTTTTGGTGGGTAAATAACATTGCATTACACGCAGTCCACCTGAATACCGAGGGCAAAAAGGGTTTGCCTGTTTGCCATTATCTGCGGGGCCCATCCCAAACTTTAAGTAATCAGAGTGTTATGGTGCCCAGCAACATGAGAGCTGATTTTAGCACACCTTGGTCCTATGCAAAGGAATAACGTGTGGGTCAAATGTCAGGCTTTTTCTTCAAGATTCGGAGATGGGTGCTGCTGACTTTTAAACCGTGTTCGAATTGCAGAACCGAGACGAGCAAAGCATATATTCTCATAGTTTTGACTGGACGGGAATATATTACCTCCAATGGGTTATCGGTTCTTTGCTGATTGAGCTGATTTCTTTTAAGGGGTTTTCCTGCACCATGAGCTTAATGGGCCTGCATGTCACGTGCATGCATCCCAGAAGAAGGTGATCAAAAGCACTGACATTTGCGGGGTTTACAATGTCGCTGTTTTAGAATCATCATCAAAAGATGGCGCTGTGCATGCTTTCCATCCGCCAACCATTTGGAACCTAGACTGACTCTGAAAGTTGCGGCCAAGTTGAGAGTTAAAATGAGTGGCGCCTGTGGGAGTAGTCACTTCCAAAGGGCTGTGGCATTTTTCCTCGACGTCAAGGCATGTATTGCTCCCAGTCGAAGCCGCAGTCAGTTGACGCAGTTGTTGGATTCAAGCATGGTATTGCAGTGGCCCCTCTCCAGCCTGAACTACTAGTCACCAGCTATTTGAAATTTCAGGCTATTCGTGGTGAACGACAACCACACAAACTCATAAGAGATATATTCCTCACGTATGTTTCACCCCCATTCTACGTGGGGAAATTCACGACTTTGACCTTGCACGGCGGTTACTTGACCGGACCCTCGTGAATCGTACAGAATTGTCCTTAGCAACTTGCCAATCCCCTGTTGAGCCTTCTCGTTTTGAGGACCTCGTTCATTTGCACAAAGTTAACAAACGATGACATTGAAACTCTTTGTGTGTGCTCTAGAAGGCTTAAACCGAATAAAACACTACAAAATCATGAAAAGAAATGCTACATAAATATTAAATTTAGCCTCAAAGTGGTTGCTAAGATGATAAATTATTTCCATTTTCCATCGATCAGTTGCTCTTTTTTTCCACTAAATTCCTCAATTTTAAAAGGTTTCCCAGAACAGTGAGACAGTGCATACGACAGGCCAGAATCTCAACTACACAGTACATGTACATGCACATGGAAATTCTCGACGGGAGCCGGTGTACATGTTCATGTGATTCATGCGTGTATAGTACATGTCAAACTGGGGATATATACCGCTAATTTCAACATTTTCCTGGCAGTTTTTTAAGGTCAGATAGACTACGGTTTCAATAATAAACTTCATGTTAACTTACTGTACTTTTATGTTCGTCTTTCGTTCCCGAGTCACTGGATTCTTACGCTCGCAAGGCCGTAAGATTATGCAGGATGAACAGAATCTGTGTTGAGTTTGGGAAGAGAAAAAAATCTAGCAGAAAACCGTCAGCAAATCTAAAACCCTCACACCTTTCTCCACCACATCCCACTTTTGAAAACTTCAGGAAAACTTCGAATTCTTTGTTTAAAGCCTTCAAAAATCGCATCAAAACGTAAACAAACTACCGCTTTTCACAAAAATCACCAGTTTTGACCAATCTGCAGTACCATAGTATACTATTTCTCAATTTTATTTTCACAAAACACGTTAGGAAAGGCCTTATCTTATATATAACGGGTTTGCCCTTACCCAACGTATATTAATAAACATTGTATGCTCAGTGCTTGTCCGAGAGCTTGCGAAAAAAACCTCACAAGCTTACTCGGGTGGGACTCGAACCCACGACCTCCTGCTTACTAGTGCAGACGTCTTAACCACTCGACCACCGAGCTTGCCGGGGTCGGTTGGCCGGTCCAAGTCAAATGAAGCAGCGGGTACCGCGAACTATTAAGGGTAAGGGCAAACCCGTTATATATAATTAACATCTCCCCCACGCAAAAATACATCTTGAAAATAGGCCTTATCTTACCATGAAAATGTTTTGGGCAGGAATTTTTATTTCCAAAAAGTGAAAATAAGACGTAAATTTCGTGAAATGAAGCAGCTGTTTGCCTGGCACGAATAAGCCATTTGCGAGTTAAATTTGAATAAAATCTGGTATATACACTGAGTTCTTTAAATTCACGTGAACATAACAATTTGAATTCTCTATACTAAAACCACTGTTGCTATACCTCGTGATTCGGGGCAAGCTTTTGCTTAGTTAAGTAAGAGACGCCTTGCAACAATACACTGTTCTCAACGGATAAGAACGACACAAAGGAACCAGTCCATTCCAGAGATGGTGGTCGCTATGCGAAAGCTTGCCCCTTATGACGAGGTATAGCAACAGTTTTTTTAGTCTGGGGAATTCAAATTGTCGTTTCTATGCAACCACATAACACAGTGTACCAGATTTTATTCAAATTTAACTCGCAAGTGGCTTATAAGTTCCCATGGCCCTCATTCAATCCAAATTACCCTAAAAATGGGACATGCGCAGTTAGTAATTTCCCTCTGAAGCATACGTGTCCTTCGCATGGCGCTACCGCAAGTCTTTCCACTTATCACCAGCTATTGTTACCTGCATGAAATGCAGCCCATTTAGATGCTCAAAGCATTCCTATGGTAGCGTGTCTTCCACGGCAAAAGGAAAAATACAATGAGTTCAGCTTCAAACAATGCAGTTGGAAAACAAAGGGGGAGAGAAGCTGCAGGTGATTTTCATTCCATAATTGTCTATACAAATGGACAGGGGGCTAAAACCAGGCCTTGAATTCAACGGGGAAAAACATCCTAACTCTTTTGAGTGGAATGGTTCCATTTTGCACCTCCTAAATACGATAATGTAAGAGCAAAGGGAATTTTCCCACCTACTGCCAATGGTTTCACCTGTCAACTACACGTACATGTACATTCCGGAGGAAGGATACATATGAGGAAGGATACACTGCTCGTGGAGCCTGAGTGTTCCGGCGGGCACAGAATGTTTGACGGTATGTCACGTCGTTACATTGGACGCTAACGATGGATCAGTGGAAGCAACATAGGCCTATTTGAACACTAATTACTGCTGAATTGGAAGTCTGACATCAGGTACGTTTCTCAGTGTTCTGGCCAGGCACCCTTTCGTTTAAGTCGTTTGCACCCCTCCATCTCTAACGTCTGGCTTACGAGCATCGTTTTGTGCATATATCATAGAAGCATAGCCTTCGTCATGAAAATGATAACATGGAGAGAAAAAATAAAACAATTCTAATGGTCACATTCAAAAGAAAAGTTGATTTTTATACAAAATTGTGTCAATGCATTTGTTTTGTTTGTGCAGTTCTGTGCTTTTTATATATCAAATTTCCAAGTTTGAAGGAGAAAAGTGAATAATGAGAATTTGAAAAGCTAAAGTGACAAAAAGGGCATATGAACAGAATGATTTGAAGAATTTAGCTGTAAAAATAAGAAAATCACCTTTCCAATTTTACCAAAATAGATCCAATGCTGTTCTGAACCAAACAAACAAAAACAACAAGTTAAACAGAGACCGTAACAGGTAAACACTCGGTTTTTAACATGTCCTGGCATTAGGCCTAAAGATGGCCGACAGAGATGTTGCTACGAGAGGCTATTAGGGTTCACCTGTTTTTTTCTCCACGTGAAAAGGCTGGAGAGCTTGTTCGCCATTCGGAGCTGAACAAACGAATGAGGCCATGCACTGGTTCCTGATCTTTTCCTGATCCTGTGAAAGGATCTATTCTTAACTCCCCCCCCATTCAAAAACTCTTCAGAAATGTGCTGTCTGTGGAGAATTACACAGCAACTCACTCAATTAATTTTATCGTCAAGCGATTGCGCCCTCTTTTGACTATAGGATATTTAGAGTGATAGTTCTGCGATCCAAGTTTGCTTTTCCTCACTGACCTGGGCGCTGAGATGGCGTCATTTCTTTGGGTGTGATTTCTTCGAATCCTCAGTGGATAGAATTTATTTGAACTCATCACATATATGACAACCGACCTTCAAACGCCTTACATTTGTATGTAAAACGGGTGAGGATAATATTGTAATTTACCCAGAAGGCTTTAAGACGCCTGTACTTCTGTCATGATTGATTTGTTTAACCCATTTTTTTGAATGGCATTGTTCAATTTCCAGTTTTTTTGCAAATTGTTGGGCAAATATCTGACACAATGTCTTCGTAGATTGTAGGAAGATCCATGCGGGGAAAAAAGCTTCCGATAGAAAATGCTGTTAGTACGGTTTTTGCGTCGGAAAAAAAAAGTAATGGTCTTTAAATATACGCGACTCGTGAAGCCAAATCAGTAGAAATGGCGCACTCTCTTGTTCATGGAAGAAAATTGCAATCTTCTTCTTTGCCAATCGATTGGCAACCTAACGATTTATTTGGATTTGATTGTTATCTGTCAACCTTAATCCAACGGTGTCTTGATGGCCCAAGATATGGTCTGCAGTGAAGGAAAAGTGGCATGGGGCCGCAGAAGGCAGGAATCCAATCTGACCTGGGAAAAAAAAATTAATGCATTGGGCTGTAAACCTTTCTGATGTTCATATGGAATCTGGTCGGTTGCTATTAGTAGATATCTCGACTGATGTAATTAAGGGATTTCATTTAAATTATTTAAACCATGTTATGAATTTTTCCTGATCTTTTCTGGGGATGGACAAAAGTTTGATTTTTTATTCCCTTTCAACTAACTATTGTCTATACTTGACAGTAATAGCAACAATGGTTATAACCTTTCTGCTACCGTGGCGACGTCTTTGTTAGACTGTAGCACTTGTTTTGGCTCAACATTACCGTCTAATGCCACCAGACTATTCACACCCGGGGCAGATCTTACTCAGAACCCGTATAGGCCTTTCTGATTTCGTCAAATGGGCCTTGAACGGGTGTGATGTGGTCAGCTGTGCGTTTTATAATTCAAAACAAGAAAGGAAAGTCAGCAGAATATGTCACCAAGAGGCAGTGCCAAAATGTAGTACGAGTGATTCATAATAGTACGCCTCCAAGAGTTTGCAAAGCGTTGACCAATCACAGTGCGCGATATCTGTCAACCCTTTCCAGACGCTCATTGGGTCAACAAATTTCGCGCATTGTGATTGGTCAACGCGTTGCAAACTCTTGGAGGCAAACTGTTGTGAATCGCCCGTATTGAGGATTCTTCCACGCGCCATGAAGGGTCTGTGCAATGAATTCCAACTTCAACACTTGAAAATACATCTCTGTGTTTCAAATAATTTTATTTTCAATTTTTGTTTGCTCTAAATTCATTTAAAAAGTTATTTTGGCGCTTTTTGTTTCTTATGCTCGTGCGAATTTCCATTTTCCCGAGCAAACATGTAATATCATTCTGTGTACAAAGCCTCATTTGCAGGTGCATTAATTTGTGGATAAAAAGAACTGCTATATGATTCATGATAATTAAGATTTTAAATTTCCTTTTCTATGATGATTCATTTTAGTTTTAGTAGGAGGCGGTTGGCCTACGAGCAACCCTTTCTCACAAATGCTTTCAATTAACAAATTTTGGGTTCACAATTTGTTACAGAGCAACCGGTTAAATGATAAGTGCCTTCACAGCAACAGCGCCCTCACTTTTCAGGAAGAGCACGGACTGTTTGAAAGCTTTTGAACACGCTTAACTCCAAAAAGATGAGAAATTAATTTGATATCATTGAAGAAAAGTATAAAACGTGCATCGAAACACTTCATCACCTCAACCCTTGTATCAGTAAATATGAAGCGGAAGGCAGAAATCAGTGTTAAATATATGCATACCAATGACTGCCTGTATGAAAAATGCACTAGCAGTTTACGGAACAAAAGAGACGCCTATAGAATTTAGTAAATATCAACAAGCTCTATTTATGTATAAATATTAATTAGTTTATTACCGCACTCTTATAGTGATATGTTTACACTGAATTGTAACACCACGTAACTAATTGGATCTCCATATATCGCAACACAGGACATCTTCTTTCCAAAATAACATTAATTTTTCTGGTCCTAAAATATGGAATTCCTTAACTCCGTCTCTCAAAAGAATAAACTCATACGAAGGTTTAAACGCAAACTAAAGTGGCACATTTTGTAAATAGCACGCCTTCAGATATATCCTGCATATTGATTTTTCCCATAGCCCTAATTCACATCATGTTTTTACAATCGCAACTTGTACATACTTTCTACTGTAACACACCTTTCCTAATTTGTATTCGATTTTGTTTTTGTCTTTGTTGTTTGTTTTGTAGCATGTACCACGTGCTTTATAATTATGTGTAGTATTGTAGAATGGCAGGCCTTACACAAGCTTTTACGTTTTTGTTTTCAGGTCTTGTCTCCTTATCTAAACTCGATATTCTAATCTTTATATTTGTACATGTATACCTACTGTAATTTTATAACGCGAAGAGGAAATAATAATAAATTTTTAAAATCTAAACAAAAGTGGTTGGGAACAAAAAATATTGAAAAACCCAACCGGCGTTTATATTTTGAATACAGGAAAGCACCGACTGCTAAACACGACCAAAGCCTGGGAAACAGGGTACAATTACGGAATCACCCCTTAATGACACTTCCCACGGGTCTAATGACAATGATCACATGATGCCCACTTTACCCTCGTCACTTAAAGAGTTACAAATTGCTGAGCGATTACCTGATCCCCATGGTATGTCACCTAGGAGCACCTCCGCTTCCCCCCCTCTCTCTCTCTCACCCTTTCCTTCCCCTCTCCTGGAGTCATGATCTAACGGCTGTTCCATGAAATATCAAAGTTCAAGTGCTCACACTTAGTCCTTCACAATTATCGTTGCAGCAGTTGAGGCACGAAAAGTCATCTAACAGTAATTTGGGAAGTAGCGGCTGTTAAGACGATAGGGCAATTTAATCATAATGGTTGGCGATGGCTGTTAATGTTTTTGTTCTGAAACTCACATCGTTAACAGAATGGTCTTCTCCAGTGCTCAAGACAATGGCACTGTTGAAAATTCTTTAACTCTTTATTCTTGAAAAGTGATACCCAAGTAACAAAATGCCGTGCTATTTTTGCATTGATAAGGTTCAGTATTTTGGTTTATGCAGTCAAACTGATGATCTTTATTTTTTTCCAGTGCTATGGAAAATCATGGTTTTATGCTAAGCAAAAACATGATACCATTCTGCATTGTTGTTTCTCGTTTGTCCCGTTTTGTTTGCTGCGTGGTTTTGGGGGTGAGTAGTACATATTACTCGAGAATATTTTCATCACTTCCAGGACGTCGTCATCAGTTCCAGTAAGATTCGCGAAATCCAATCGTTTTGTTGAAAACAGGACAGTAAACAGCGGTAGGTTTTAATCCTAGAATCGTCTTGTTCAGTAAAAATGTTTAGTCGAACCTGAGCATCTAAGTACCCTAGTATCGCTGCCAATTACACTGTGGGTGGGACCTCACTGGAGTTTGTTTTACCCCTGGGGGAATGGTAACCCGCGATTCTCTCCTATAATTGCCGGCAAAAACTTCATCCACTTAATAGTTCGGGGACACTATGAGTTCTCAAAATTAGGTCAGCGCCAGTCGTTGTGTTTTGCACTAATTGAAGCGGCCCTGTTTTTCTTGCATGGGGCGAGGCTCGAATTCGTCCCACTGCCGGCTGCAGCATACCAGGACCATCTCCTCACCGAGACGTGGTGGGTCGATCGTCGCGATCACACGGTGTAAGGTGTCATCACGAGACGATGGCATCCCCCTTCACGGAATGCCCGGGCCTCGAATTCATTTCCTTCGGAAAATCATTCTTGCTTTAACTGTGCATGCTGTAGAATGCATTTTGAAGATCAAAGGGGACTCTTCGAAGCTTTGTCTTTTACTCTATTTCTGCACTCTCGCACAATCACAGTTGAAAAAAAAACCACAGCTACGATTTTGAATGATCCCATGTTCTTCGTCTTAACGTTTAATCAAACATTGTCAGGCTGTACATTACTTCATAATTTGATATACCAGGTGAGATATGGGACGGAGGGGTCCCCCCCTTTACCTGTCCAATCCCTATACACACTCGATACCATTGTTACCTAACGCGTCCCCTCTAGATGTCTGATTCCGATCAAGCAATGACCAACACAAAGGGGGGGGTCCATACCTTGCTTCAAATGTAATTTGAAGTCTTTATAACTACATCTGTCGCGAGATGTTATTTATAGCAAACTGCTTCATCAGCTGTCTCAGGACGCGACCGATCGTCAGATCGCCACGAATCGAGGAATTGTCTGAATGATCGCTTGACCGTCAATTAGCAACTCATATACAATAGCGGAGCAGTTATGAGAGAAAACCATACTCTAAGTGTGTTTTAAATGAACTATAAATTATTCAGAAATCGTCACAAATAATAGTTTCATGGTGATTATGAGAGAGGAGGGGGCTCGATCTGGAACGTTTGTAAAGCCAGGGTCGAGAGAAGGATTTCAAGTGTGCCAGAACACGGCGGCTGGCGGCCCTGCGGCCACTGTGCGTTGCACCTGCGGCTAATTAAGAGCTGGCGCGTGTTGGTAATTGAGGTGAACATTAATGGTTTGCACTTGATGTCGGAAATACTGCTGGACGGGGCTCTGTGCCTGTGGAACGTTGTGGAAACAGTAGGCAAATGTTTTATTACAATGTTTGAATGAGTGTTTCAGCAAGGGACACTTCCATACTAACCTAACCCCTCTGCACCCTACAATCTCCACCCGGTGACGCAGTCTCTCGTAGGTTTCGTTGATCCAACCAAGGAAACGTAGGGGGTACCTTCAAAATCAGACCCCTCTTTTGGGATCAGAAAATTTAAAATCTTCTATGAACTAGCATTGATCCCCACTTACAAAGATTACCAGATGCCTGAAAGCTGCGAGTTTGTCATTGTTGGAATGTCTAGGAAGTCAGTTGTCGGGTCTTTTGGCAGATTTTGGGAGTCAAAAATGTGAAAATAGACCACTTTAAACAAGACTACACAACACTATGAAACTTCACATGAGAAGGAATTAAACACTCGAAATGCATAATATATTAAAATATAATATATAAGGGGCTTAATGCCATTTGACTGAAATATAATCATGGGCCTCCCTCCTTGCACATTCGTGGGCTTTAAGTGGTCAATGATTAATTTAATATGGTTCTCAGGAATGTGGTCGTTCCATGCTTGCGTTGCTGCAAGACGACTCTTTCATGTGAGAATGCATCGAGACATGCAATAGTTCCAAACGTAAAATACATATTACAAGAGAAGAAACACATAGGCAATGGTAGTAGTGGAGTGCTGTTTAGACAATTTGATTGACTGACAGCAACCGTAAAGAGAACGGTTGCATGGAAAAATCAACAAATTAATTATGTGGATGTTCCTTCTTAATACGTGATCTTTATGCCTCCATATCTGACGATTAGGGGCTGATTGGATAGAGAGTTACACTTCCTAGCCACTTATGGCGCGAAATGAGTCAAGTCGCCTGCGTTGCTTACATATATAGCTGAAGTCCTACATTTTAATGTGATCGGACTGGGCCACACTCGGCTCTAAACATTTGAAGCCAAATAGCTGATTCTTGTGCTTAACAGTGGCACGGACGGGGACCATTCGACAAGGGAGATGAATCGACCGGGTTGACGAGGGGAGGCTCGACCGGTCGGTGTGCTGTGGCAACGGTAGATCACCCCCCGTCTGTGGCGGTACTGAAGTGGGTAGGGGCGGCCGCCACGCGAACAGCCTGCGCAAGAGATATTTTATCGGTTCTCCGTCTCGTGCCAGCCACTCGAGAGTGCCACTCCCCCCCCCGTTTGAGGATGGCTAGGGCTATTTTTTTCCGCTGCAACAAAAACGCTCCGAAATCACTTTCCTCGAGTCAGCGCTCACAATGTTATCTTATCGCTATCTCTTGAGCAAATGGCAAGTTGGGGAGAATCGACGTGTGCTCAGGGTTGTATAATATCCGTGGGGCCGTGTTATGACCCTGTACGCAGGTGACGGGGATCGCTATAATGACCGCGGCTTCTACGCGTCCCCTTCTTAAAATGTGCCCCCCAAATCCCGGCCACTTAACCCACTTTCCATGCTGAATGTTTCTCTGTTTGTTTACCCCACATTTCATGTTCATAGAATCGATCATTTAAACTCGTGAATGGCCCGCCGTAAAACAACATACGCGTCAACGAAGAGAATAATGTAACTTTTTTAATTGATTGATTTTTTTATGACTGATTTATTGTTTTGTACGTGTATGCCAGTTACATGTATAAGTGAAGCAATCAACTTTTCCTGCAAGCAGGAGTACTATGCTTTACAGAAATACGATTACCCACGGATGTCGTCTGCGTTCAGTGTGGCTGTTTGCTTGCCGGATTCTGATTGGTCAATGCAACTCGATATGCAGTGAAAGCTGCTCTGCTATTGGTCGTTTTCGCCTCCGGCGGGCACTCTCCCTCCTTGGGCACTCATTAACGAAGGGATCATAAATCAACTGGATTTAGAAGGGAAAAGTGCTAAAAGCCCACATCATTCCGTGTTATTAAGACAAAGCCGGCCGCACCTCGAAGCGATAACACCGAGAACTCCCCAAGAGCTTTTTTTCCCCCAGAGAGTTTTCAAGCTGACTTCAGAAATGATACACTCGGTTACCACGCAGCGACTGGGTTCGAAAACCCCCTTCTCGATTGAAAACATCCTTGGCCTTAGCGGGGAGAAACGGTCACTTGAAAAGTCGACGAGACACATCTGCGAGCACCCACTTGTAGGTGAGTCGGAAAAATGGCTGATTTAGTTAGGAATCGATTTACTGATTCCACTCGATTGCAAACGTCATAGTGTTACGAGTTCGTGCGTGGACATCATTATCTTCTTGTTGACCCCGTATTTCAGTGTGGATTTAGAAAATGTTTCAACTTAGGTAAAAAAAAATTGTCCTTGTGTTCCTTATTCATTCTTGATGATTGATGTATTGTATGATTGGAAACCATGAGATAAGTAGGAGCTTTACTTGGAGCATTCCCAAACAAAGATACTTAAAAAAAAAACTTGCATCAAAACTCAGGTATTCTTTACATCAGCGTTGCTAGATCAAATATCTAAACCGCGGTTGTCTGTCACTGACAACTACGCGCTTTTTAAGTGGTTTGTTTTCAGAATTACCAACCCCCACCTTTCTTTGCCAGATGAAGAGTCAATAAAATTGCAATTTTGGCCATCTTTCTTTTTTTTCCCTCAAACTTGTGATTTTGCTGCGGCAACGTGGAAAAAAAGGACAGAATTACAAAATGTACGGTTTTGGGCAGAAGTGACATAGTTTCGTCCAAATGTTTCCCGTTTGTAGCCATCTTCCCGATTTAACAAGTACCAACCAACCAACCCAGGCAAAGTAATAGATGTCCTCTGTTCAGGGGTGGTGTTTCTTTTCCATTTTTTGTCTTGACACTGCCACCTTGAATAAATTCCGAAAGCCAAAAAATAAAAACGTGTGACACCATGTGAACTAAAACCAATACCACCTGCCGGGCGCTGATAGATTTTTCGTCTAGATTGTACTAATTTTGTGACTAAGTATTCCGCCTCTATGCTCTCGATTCTTTCTGCCAAGTAACTGCAAAATTGCTAAGATTTCATCGTGGCTTTGTTAAGAAGAAAAGTACAAATTGCAAAATACCGGTTAAGAACTGATAGTTGAATCATAACACGACTGCCTTTATTTCAAAGTGAAGTTTCACACATTTATTGATACGAATATACCACCCTCTTGATGCCATTGGCTGTTATGATAATTGACACTAATTGGCCTTTGTCCAACCTTTAGGTTTTCAGAGTATAGCTTACGATTAATCATCATCTTGGAATGTTTCGAAAGTCATGAAAGTCATATCAAATACTGGTCTTCCTCCGGGGCATATATTGGCTCGTTTACTGTCGGTATCATTCTGCTGTAAAGATCAAGATGTCAGCCACTCCTTACTTGTGTCATCTGAGATAATTAGTTGATCTTCAATGGAAAGCAAGTTTGACGCACTCTTAGGTTATATTTCTTTGTAATCTTGGCGCAGGTCTCTGCTTTGATCAAAAGGTTTGTGGTACTAATTGACTTAACTAGAAATTATATTTATAATCATGTTGCACGTGCATCATCAGAGTAAACGACGATATTTGATCGTTACATTGTACATATTGCTCGTCTTCTTTGCATCACAGTGTGATGCTCTTGAGTTCCACACAACACGTGCAATGTACATATACTGCACTTGCTACATTGTTAATCCATGTTGACTGTTTTCTTTTAGTTTACGAACTCGCATGTGCTTTCATTCAGAGGTTCCAGAGAAAGGGCTATTGTTTTCAATTACTGACGAATAGTTACAAATTAATAATAATTATGCATCTTGGTGGAGCTAAAAAGGCACTTTCTATTGGCAAAGTACTTTGTTCTGTCTTCGTCGATTCTTCCAGCGTTCACTTTTGAAAAGCCTTACATACACACATTTAGCAGCTTGTATAAGCAGGAAATAATGAACTCTTTTCTTTTGTCCTGAAGCCCTATAACTCAAAGCAAACACGCAACAAGCGGGTCCATGATTCTTCTTGGTACACTTATTGCGTATCTGGGTTAAAGCTATTCTTTCGAGTATTGTATCGAATTTGGGTTATGACACATTTTGCAGCTCTCCGAGCATTATCTCCATGATAAATTTGCTCCCTATATTGTCTGGCGTATTTGCGGTCTCGCCGCAACTCCCGCCAATTGTTGGTACCCTCTTGACCACAAAGGCGCGATAACAGCCCACAGCAGCCGCTTAACCAAAACAAAAAAAGAGACGAACTGTGTTGCTTCGGTTTTGTTCCACCCAACAGCAGGCGCGCATGGTCCCGGCACAGACGAGAAGCGCAAGCCCAGGCGCATGCGTGTCCGGACGAATTTCAGTGGCTGGCAACTGGAGGAGCTGGAGAGGGCGTTTGAGACGACACACTACCCAGACATCTTCATGAGGGAAGCTCTGGCCATGAGGTTGGACCTCATGGAAGCAAGGGTGCAGGTTAGTAGCTCCATAGTTGACCACCTAGGTCGAATTTCCTCGTGGTGGGGGTGGGGGGGAATTTTTTTCGGAAAGTGGAGGCAAAACACATCTGAAGATTCTCAAGCTTTGTCAGATATGAAGCTAGTTAACTTTTCTTTCCTCTTTGAGGACTACAGGAAATGAAATTATCCCCGTAAAGCGTCCATGTGAAATATCGAGCAAAGCGACTAAATGTGATTACATTCCTTCCCTGAAATAGCCAATAGTATCAAGGTATTAACTGTAACTGGAACCTTTTAATTAAACGTCTTTGTCAAATCCTTCTTGTAACTTTGAACAATTTACCCGAAACGTGACCCCCTATTCTGATTCCATACAGTAAATTTCAAAGACGCTGGTGCAGCGTTCTTATTGCACATAAGCTGCAAAGTTGACTGGTTAAGTAAGAGGGAATTCGACTTTTAATCTGAAGAAGCTTTTAGGCCCCCCCAAAAAATGAAATCGTCAGAATTTGTTGTTGGTGACTCAGTATTATTACAAAGATCTGTTTCCTGTTTATTAATTAGAATTAAGAATTATAAAATGCAGTCATAAACTTTGACATTTTACATATCATGCACATGTAGTACAGTGATGAAAATAGGGGTTTCGTAAGTAACTTGTTATGCCATGAATTACCATGGATAGCTTTTGGTGCTCACCATCATGCGATTATCGGTTAATTGGGAGAGGAATGTATCCGTACACAATGTGATATTTGTCCTCCAGAGTAACAGCTTAAAAAGATCCACCCTTCTGCGACACAAGCTCGCCCCGTGCCACGCACAAAATCAACCGTAATAAAAATCGCCCTGGCGGGTCATCACTTCATCGCGCCGCGCTTCCAACACGTGCGCGCCTCGCGCCTCTCGAGTTGTTTTCCCCCCCACCCCACCCCACCGTTTTGGCAAACCCGCTTCGTGGGTGCAATTTGGTTGCTTTTCCGGGGTTTTTTTGTGTTTTTTTTTTATGGCAGGGAACCGAAGCCAACCAACACTTGACGGCCCACTCCTAGGGGCGATCGGTCCCGCGAGAGCGTAAATCAACCCCAGAAAATTGAATTAATCTGCGGTGAATTGCTGTAAAAATTACGAGCCTCTTTACAGGATACGCAGCCAGGAATATGAAGCCGCAGGTTTCCAACTGTTACGATACAGGAGAAGACAAAAAAAGGCTAGGCAATAAACCGGAGTTAATCGCTAACCGAATGAGGGGGATCGCAGGTGGCGAAATGGATACTCGTTCCCATGAATGTAGGACCGTCTCAGCGTCGAGTCATCATCTAAAAAAGTTCAGTCTTTAATGATATTAAAAAAAAAAACTAGACAAGGGGCACTTAGAGGTAAAGGTCTCGCTTGTGTTCGTCGGATCTGCAGTGGTAATCTTGTTTTATTGCTTCCATTAAACGCGCAGGTTATTTCTACCTTTACGCCTTCTTATAACATAATGTGTTCGACAGGACGGGATCTTATAGAAGTAAAAACCTGGGAATAGCCTACATTTGACAGATCATTGCCGATGACAAACCGAGAACGTTATGAACCCGTAAACATCGCAATTAAACGGTATTTATGAACGATTATAGATAGGAAGGTAACAAAAGATACTTTTTTCAATACAGAGCCAGAGGTGCCACATTCCTTATTAATATAATGATCAAAATAGCCTTTGAAGAGAGATGTATGTATACATTTAATATGTTCCCCCTTTCTGATGAGTATCTTTCTTTTTTCAGAGGTGTCATTTGTTTCTGATTGTGCTTCGCTTCTAAAATACCCATAACACGTCGTTTATACAACTCATGTTTTTGACTCTTTTTGTGCTTGTGGAGTGTATTATTGGAAAATCAAGTTCGGTTAAATTTAAAATTATTCCGTAAATTCCTGGTGAATGTAAAAAAATATGGATTTGCATCGTACGCAGAAAGTTCCGGGGACTACGTAGACTTTGTTGAGTATTCGGGACAAAATCTGCTAGCTTGATATTCACAACTCTTTAATTTCCTTTATGCACTAGTTGAAATCCAATTTAACCAAGGCCCACTTATTTGTTTCTTTGATTATCACTTATGGGGGAAAAGGTTAATTGAGTGCCGAGGACTCTTTTTTTCTTCCAAACAGCTCATTTATTGAGCAGAATTTTTTTATATTTACCTCAGTAAAAAAAAAAACACACACACAAACAATTTTACTCCAGAACCATGCGGCACAGGGCTATCAATTATTAGTTGTGTTGCCACCTCTTTGAGATGACAAACACTCTTAATAGCTACGACTAGTTCTCCATTACTTGTTCAAACCAGAACGATCTAATAGGTTGGCGCACCCGATCAGTCAGAAATGACGGCAAAATATGCAGCATGCCCTAAGAGCGGCCGTGACAGTGACAGATCGATTCTGGTCGGGAGAAGCGCATTCCGTCAACTCATTTTGGACGTCCAGCGAAGGGGTTTGTCTAGTCGTACCTAGCGGCGGACCCAGAACCGATTTTTCGGTGCTGTCAAAATGAATTTCGGAGATAAAAAGAGATTGGGATTTATGGCCTTCCTCAAGGCTAAGGCTAAGTTTTTAGGGCTTTTTACACGCTTTGGTTAGAAAGAAAACTAAATACTCTCCCCGATATTCACCTAAAACTCGTATTTTAAAAAGTCCTGATGGGGCATGACCTTCATTCGAAACAGATCCACCAATGATTATATCATTGTCAAAAGGGAATCCGAACATTTCCGTAAGGGGAGGGGGCGCTGAGCACCTCATAAAAAGGGGGGGGAGCAAAAATGGAGGGGGCCGAGTGTACGAGCGGGACCTATTTTTCCCATCTAGATGAAAAATGTCCGTCTTTAAAAGTTCTTAAATGGCCAGTTGTGAGCACAAGAAAGAAGCTAAAAGACAAGATACGCCCCGCTGCTGGCAATGTATACTTAGTGGTTATTATACGTCCGGCCAGCGTGACCATGTTTGAAAAGATACCCAGCTCTAAATTCGGCAGTTTGTGGAAAAGTTTAACAAACAGTTGGCAGATCCTGTTCTTTCCCCCAAAGAAGAACAAAGTTTTATCCTCATCATTGTCCCTTCTGTTATAACCTTTGATTCACGACGCTACGTGCTTTTAAATCGGCAGTAAATGTGTTTTCTTTTGGGGGAAAAAGAAGGGAAATAGGGGGGGGAAAGCCGGCTTGTTCATCTTGGCAATTCATGTGATAAATGCTTCTAATCGGCTGCTGATATTGCTTAAAGATTACCCCTGAGTCTATAACACCTGCGCCTGCCGGCTACAATTACCTCCAAGAACCTACTAGGCTAATGACATCATCCCTTGTTCCTAACCCGAGTGTAATTCACTTAACTCCGTTTACCAATGTCTCGGTTGTTTCTTAAGATGTATCTATCTATTACGGCAGCCAATCGCTAATACACTTCCCCCGCACTTGCCAATTTCCCCCCTTCTTTTTTTCTCTCTGTGTCCCGCGGTCTTTCCTCCCGCGCTTTTAATTTGCCCGATTCTGCGCCAATTTGTAAACAGCGCGGGCCGGGTCTCCGGCCGCATTCCTTCCGCGTCTTAGAGCCGGGCCGGTTAATGCAAACATTTTCTGCTTTTTCAGGTGTGGTTTCAGAACCGGCGGGCCAAGTGGCGCAAGCAGGAAAAGAGCGCAGGGGACGCGGGGAGGGAGAGTCGCCTCCTTGGCGGGGCTGGGAGCGTTGCCAAGCAGCCCACGAATCCGTCCACGCAGGCCACGGCCTTCATCAGTGGCAGACAGCAGATTACCACGGGCTGTCGTCAGAGCCCCCTCCTTCTCAAGACCCCATCCTCGTCCTCCCCGCTATCGACTCCCCCGTCGCCCTCTTCCTGTTCCTCCGGGAAGGGCCTGCCTTTCATCCACGTGGTGCCCCGGATCTTGCCGCCCATGGCCGCCCGGGGTTCTTTGTCCGGTGTCCTGGGAGATCTGGTGCTGGACCGGAACCCGGAGAGCCGACGAAGCACCAGCATTGCAGCGCTCCGAGAGAGGGCGCGAGAGCATCAGGATAACCTACGCCTGGTGGGATTTTCCCCTATTTTCTCGTCCCGCACACACAGTGCCACTTGAAGATGGAGATGTACCAAGTTGATAAAAAGGAACTGTACAAAAGGAACAAAAAGAGAACTGTACCAACATAAAAAAGAAAGCTGTGCATTTACCAGCATGAAAAACTGTGCCAAACACAATGTGAAAATTAATTAGTCAGGGCACGCTGTTCTCAATTCGGAAGTCTTAAGCTTTTGCATAGATTTCTTTATTGATTTTGGACTTTTCTGATTACGAAGGTTCGAGTTGTTGTATCTGCGTCTAGTTCTGAAAATTCGGAGTATATTCTAAACCCGTCCGAGTTTTTCTGTAGCTCATGCTTCGTGGAGCAAAGTGTACAGTTGAATTTAACTTCGCTCACGCTACTTAGGAAAACGGATGGACCGTCACCGCCGTCAAAGTAAAGGTGATGAATACGCCTACATAATTGTATGGGATTTAGACCAGTGAAGGAGAGTTAACTAACTAAACAATCCGATACAAATGTCTCCTCTGCAAATATGTGAGAGCTGTCATTTTAAGGCCACAAGTCCTTAATCTTCATACACCCGATGGTGTTAGATCAAAGTAAATAACAGATAAACTATTTTAAATTTAATTCCGCTGAAGAAACTTTTCACATACAGTTGTCTGTGTTATTTGTACCGTGGACTGGTAAGTCTGAGTGACAGCTTTTTCCCGTGTTTAAATGAAACATTTCTGCGACAATATTTTGGAAAGCTATTACAGAATCCAGAGAAATGTGCAAAATTTTCCTTTTTTCTTGAAATTACTTATCCTGGAGTGCCTTGTGATCAATGTTTTTTACTGATAGTGATTTCGCAAAGATTTGAAATGTAATTTTTTTTCATTGATCAGCCGTGGAATTGTTATTATAAAGGAAAATTATTTTGTCGAATATATTTTCATGATTAGTGTCCTTTAGCCATTGTCAAAATGAGAGCTTTTGTAAGTCGACGAGAACCAATAATGCATCACAAATGCCCTCTCGGTCATGCTTCCTCTCGGAAACCTTGAAAAAGGCAGAGGGCGCCATAACCAACGTCTGCATCAAGATTTTCCCGCACCTTAATCCCCGACGTAACGACGGTGTCTGAAACTGGAATGTTTGGTTTGGCCAAGTTTTGTTGACATTCAATCTTTTGATAAAATACAAGTTCACAAAAGGAATTTGCAACCTGTAAATATATGTAATTATGTAAACTTCATCATGTATAAATTTCCAATTCATTATGGTGCCACGTGTCTCCTTACATCTCATGTATTGATCAGATTCAGTTTCAAGAAAATGTCATTAAATCGGTTAAAGGATCCGTCCGTAGATTAAATAAATAAAAAGCATAAATGAAGGAAATCATGTAGACATCCTTAGCGTGAGTGTCTTGTATTTGGTTGTATTGAGGAATCAAATCGTACATAGTCAAGGTGCTTTATGGAGACGTACGGTTTTGTGTACTGCACAGTGGCTGTTTGTAGAGCGAGCTGCGACATGAGTGTGTGGTTTATGGTGGTTTATGCCACAGTGCGCATGCATGAGAAATTAGTACACAATAGCTGCATGCTGCAGTGCACACCAAATGAACAGCTGTTTGGGTTCCAAAGTCCGAAGTTACAGCCACTCTCTCTGTTGCCATCCAGGGATGATCCGCCATAAAAAATAGTTGTAAAGCCCAAACCATTTTGAAAATGGATGTCTGCACTCCGTTACAAAACAGAGCAAATCGAGGGCTACCTTTTTTTTTATAAACCATCCAGTCCCGGTGCCACAAAATGTCCTGATAGCAGAGAATTTGACAGCATGTAAATCGTGATTTGGACCACGCAGGCAGTTTGGTCCCATTTGCTGGCCTATAACCCTCAATGGATTTCACATCCGTTAATCCCGACTAATGCAATTGCTGCAGACACTGCCACAAATATTCTAGCCGCAACTAACGATGTCGAGCACGAGATCGTTTTTGGTGTGCTCAAGAAAACGTGGGGTGCACTTAATTTAATCCTCCTGCTCTGTCGTTACCATTATTTATAAGATGTGAATGAGTGGGAGTAAACCGTCGTTTACTTTGTTCAAGAATGATTTAAAACAATATTATGTCCGTGAGAGGCTTATATTCACTATAAATGGAAACATTGTAAAATTTAACGATAAGTGGGACCCCTTCTCACTTCTATTAATGGATTGACGCGTATATTTTTACTGTGTAGACATGGTGTTAGCTTTTGAGGAAAACTTATGAAAAAAAACAAAACGATGTCGAGCACTATATCTCGCCCCATGGAATTAAAACAGTGTAAAATCAACAACGTTCGGGGCTCAATAATATGCAAGCCATCATTACTGGCCTGTCCCGAACAAAACTGAAGTTATTGTCTTGTCCCTGTAGTCTTTCCAGTTCTTTTGAATTTTTTGGTGGGTTAGCGAATAACATTTTTAGTTACTCTTACAAAACAAACACAACCTCGAAAATTGATAATTGCCAAGCCTGCGCGCAGCCATTTTCAATTTTTCCCCTACTTTTTCGAGCATCAGGGATCGTTTTTCATCTGTATTTTTTTTTAAACAATTCTGCCCTCGGATGGAAGCCCCCCCCCAAAAACGAGGGAGTTGACCTTGGCCAACTTCCACTAACCCTCCATTTGTTTCGGCCAAACAATCTCCTCGTCAAAAGTAAACCCTGGGGGTATTTTTAATGTTAATAAGCTTAGCAGAAATTATAGCCTGAATTATAAATTAGTGCACTGTATCCCTAAGCAAATTCAGACACGACCTTGCTCTGTGGCTGGGTGTCCATTATAACACTGTCCCCTATAATTGAACTACCGCCCTCCATCGGTCGATCTGGGACATCCGACGCGAGGTGTGACAAACGTACATCTGCGCCGTCTAAAGTTAGTTAAAAAATTAAGTCAAAAAGTACGGCGTGTGACTCATGAACCGAAGCGTCACAAATGGAGGGGGTCAAAGGGGGCGTTTCACATGTCTTCTCGGAAGTTGGAAGGGGACACTTAGGTGCATTGCTATAAAGGTGGGCCCCCATTCAGATATGAAACCTTCCCAATTCTATTTATCACCTAATCAAACGTTTTCTCAGGCAGAAAATTTCGGCAGGTGCCTTTGTTCTGGGAGAAGATAAGATAAAATATCTGAGGTGGATAGCAGTTTGCTGTGGCAGTGCTCGACACAACCAAGCTTCATTTCAATAAAACTGTTGGCCTACATTCACACTGCTCATTCAATGGTAGACATGTTAGGCCGACACTTCCCCACGCTTTTCGGTTAAAACGATTACCATGTCTGCTGACGCCAAGAGAAAAGGGCCTATCCCCCCGACGACCACTATCCGTCCTTCAACTGCCTGCTGATGATGCTCGCCACACTGCTGCCGCAACAATGTGAAATTACTTCGTGTTTTAATTGTTATTATAGTATGTCTTCTCCGGAAAGAATATTATGTCTTCAATCAGTTATTTCCCAAGGATACCTCTCGTTTCTTCCCAGTTTCTCTTCAATCCCCCCCCCGCCTCTGATTGATACGACCGCCACCAACGATCTAATTAAACGCCGTCTGAAATGCGTCTTGCCAGGGTATTTTGATTACCTGGGTTGTCATAATTGAAGACGCTATTGTGCAGTGCAGGTGACATTTCCGTCAGTCCTGTTGCTCGTCCCTGTGAGGTGTTTTTATGATTTTTGACTTCAAACGCCGAGAAATATTTAATGAAACCCCACCCGCTCACCCGCTGCCGTTTTATGGACAATCAGTAAGATAATTTTGGGCGGACAATAAAACCATTTTCATTAGCAGGCGCAGGAAAACATACGGCAGACGACACTTGGGGATTGCCATTAATGGCCGGCCTTGGAATATGAGTGCGCCATATTTTTTTGCCCGACATTTTCCTTCAACTCGCCTAATACGGGGGACCTGAACGGAGTCGATTCAGCCAAACCGCACCGCTAACGTGGTGATGTGGTTTTCTGAGGGGGGGGAGGTTGGAAGGGGGAGAATGAAGAGGGTGTCCAGTCACCGGCGTCAAATCTTTCGGGGGGGGGGGCTGATGACCAACAAATGGACCATGGTACCGGCATGATGCGCAGGTTGAAGAGACACCAGGCAATCGTTATGTCCTTACGCCCGAGTCGAGTGCGTGCTCCCCCCGGCCCCTTGCCAGGGTACGGGTCCGGCAGTCTTTCGGCCCAGAAAAGCTGTGGACACCTCACATTTTGTCCGATATCACAGTCAAACATTAATTTTTGTTCGCATCCATGCATGGATGAGTTAGTACAGATTTACATCGTGCTTGAGCTTTAACAACAGTTATATCTTTTATAAATTTCAAAATGGAAATCTCCCGAAAATTTGGATACAGGGTGTCGGAACAGCTTTTTCCCCCTTGAATGTGGAAAAGTTACAATACACTGACGTGGGGGTGATGCAGTATCAACGATTCCAAGTACTTAAGTACTTCCCCGGTTGAATCAAACTTCACAGGTTAAAAACATCGATGGTTTGAGTTGCTGTCGAATCTTAAAAGGAAGAAAATCTGCAGTTACAAGACTGAGAACTGCGAAGGGCGAATGTAATAAACCCGCCCACCTGTGACGTGCCCCCACCCCCCCAAAAAGAGACTCTTGGGGTGGTTTATAAATCCCCCATACGTTCTTCACGCTGGCTTGGTTTGGAGTATAAGCACAGAGATTTCTTAATATAGTGACTGAAAGGTAGTGGCCAGTAATTTGAAAAGGTTGCCCTTAATTTTCTGACACACAATCTGTTGCCAAAAAGGTCGGCCAATTTTGCCCATCCGCAAGATCGTCAAAAGGCTGTCTTCGTAATGGAATTGCAAGTGCTCAAGGTTCTCGAACACCGATTCTCAAAACACGCCACAACAATTGCAGCCACAGAGCATGATGCATGCGCATTGTACCTGCGTCATCGATATAGCTTTTGGAAATAATCTTGTAGTCATCAGTTTGCAATTCGAACTTGATCTGGGAAGAAAGTGGTCGAGTGTCAAACCTGTCCGTCATCAATTAACTACGGAAGCCGCGGGAGTACCATCAGGTATACATGTTCGAAAGTGCAGAAAGTATATTTTTGGAAGTCCGTTTTTAAGATAAATATGGGTTTTTTTTCGACTTCGTTTGTACGCGATATATATTTTTTCAAAAGCTCATTTGTTCCAGACAGACATTCTGCAGTTCGTTCTAATGAGATATATTTAGAAGCATTGTTTGTAGTTTTTTTTAAACAAATCGGTTTTACGAGATAGATTTTTTGGTGAAGTTTGTTTTTTATGAGATGTGTTTTGTCTAAGTTAATTTTCAGGACATATTAATTGTCAGGTTTGGATTTCTCACAAAACAAACTTTTAAAAAACTCACAAAAGCGAACTTAAAAAAATCTTCTAAAAAACGTACTTTGCGAAATTAAATCTCGTAAAAACTATCTTGGAGAAAATATACTTCATAAAAGCGAACTTTAAGAAATATACTTCACTTTTGAAAGTATATGTACTTAACTGCACTGCAGGGCTTCCGTAAATGACAGTCCCGTACCAAATTTTAAAAAAAAAATATTTGAGTGTATGCAGAATGTTACTACATATTGTTATACGGGCAAACAATTGGGTCCTGTAATTAATTCATGCAGTAGTGAACGTATGAAAGTGGTAGCGGTGCGTATCTTTGCCGCTAGAGGGCTCCACGAGTTTTGCTGCAAGAAAGCTCTGAAAGCGCATTGCAGCAGTCATCCACTTTTTCCAGCTCTCAAAAAAAATTCGGATAATTTGAGCGTTTGGGAGTTTGTTATCACTAGTTGCAAGATGACGAGGCACCAAATAAACTTGTTTTCCTGAATTCGAAGTTCCTTACTAATTAGCCTAATGTAGCAGGCTGGTTGGTAGAACCGAAAGCAGGAGAGGTAAAAACAAAGGAAGATTATATTTTTATCTGTTGAATTTTTTTCTGTCATTAGTTTTGAATAGCGTGAATAATAGGAGTGTGCATAATTGCGTAAGTAAATTGTAAGCGACCAAAAAGAACTCATCTTTGGACGGCAGGAAGGCAATCAGCAAAAAGCTTGGATGTAGACAACCTGTGTTCCAATAGGCCTACATCTTTCAGGTTCGTGAGCACAATAAGTTTAATCGATTCAGGAACTCCTGGCAATCCAAGTAGATGCACTGCTAGAAATTGTCATTATTGGCAGCTCGAAATGATGATACAAATATGCCATTTTGTTTTACGGACGAGTTGGGGTGTTCACTTCGCGCCATTTTTTCCCAATCATCTAACAGCATTCTTCCCTCGTGCGTGTCTATTTTTTTCTGGGTCATTTTCG